AGTCTTTAGCATGGCCGTCAAATTCAGTCTAAATTAAGAGAAATTGAAACTATATAAATTCATATAAGAAAGGTTCTGTTTAGGCCAAGTTAAAAAAAAAAGTAGTTTCTTGTCCTAATATTTAAAAAAGGGAGAATATTAGGGCACTTTTTTTTCTTTACACCAAGATGACATATCCAAGACAAAACAGCTACTAAATAAACATTGAAAACAAATAAAAGAAGCACTAGACATGATTCATACCATATTATTTTCAGAAAAAAGTACAGTAACTTGGATCACTGCGTTTTAAACTTTTCTCATAAACCCACTTTCACTATGAGACATATACAGTAACTGGTGACCTGACTGGTGACCTACCAGGTCAGAAATAAAAAGTTTCTACTCAAGTCACCGTCAATGAAGAAAAAGAATCAAACTTGCCTTAATTATTTCCACATTGATACCAGCTAGATGCAACAGAGGAGCAGCATTCTTCTCAATCAGCTTCTTAGCTTTCCTTTAAAATAAAACAAGAAAAGTCAGGCAAATTTGATTAAAGATAAAATGTTTAATTTTGTTTTCTTGTCTTGGCAGTTTGCAAACTCACCCCTTTCTGGCAGCAGGATTTAATATGATTGTTACTTTTCTTGGTTTGCTCACAGTTTGAATGGTTTCTTCCCCATATATCTGTTATAAAGAAAAAAACATCTGAGAATTAATGGGTGTATTCAACTGGTTCATTTTGTTGACTATGAATTTTATTTGGATTGTTTGCTGTTGCATTGATATTCAAAGTAAATACATGATTAACATAATACAAACAATTATTATTTAATTTAAAACAAATGAAAAAGAAAATAAAAGGACAAAAATGCAATTATTTTCCAATAACACTTTTTCCCCCAAAATACATATTTTTCAATACCAGACATGGTGATACGAATATTTTTTTATTGGGCCTAAAATGAAAAGAAGTTAGACTTACTACTGCTTGTTTACAATAATCTGCTCGTATTTCATTTGCTCTGAGAAAGGAAAGAAAATCTAATGAGTGTAACTAAGTTTTCCAACATTATTATTATTAACACATGTTTTGTTTTGCAATTTTTTAGCTGGTACATTACTTTCTAAACTCAATCTGACTGATGCTGTATCATAGTACATAATATTTATGACAATTGTAAACTTGCCAGCCTAGTAGTATTAAACAGTTTTTCACTCTTTCTTAACAATATTAATCAATTTATTGGATCCACATTTGATACAGAGCCACTCATTCAAAATGCATGCATGCATGGTGCACAGGGGCGGATCTAGAATTTTTCAAACAGGGGGGGGGCACAACAGCTTCAGAATAGGTAAGTGAGTAGCTCATAACATTGATTTGCATTCAAAATTTATTGGGTAAACAGGGATACATGCCCCCGACTGGATCCACCCCCCCCCTGCACCCATATTAAAGAAACATATAAAATTAACTGTAATTAGTACTACTATTCATATACTACTAGGGCACAGGCCTTGTAGTAGGCCTAGTCTAAAACTCTAGGCATAGGTAGGCTTCAACTAACTAGGCCCCCTAGGGCTAGACTAATAACATTAATTTAAAATTACAAAATACTAAGTGAAGCTGAATGCCTACATTGAGGTACTGCTAAAATTACCAAGAGTATAAATAGCAACAATTTTAGTTTTGCAACACAAAAGATTCAATCCCATTAGCCATACACTCAGCCTAGGCTAAGTAGGAGGTTAGCGATGCTCAAGCAAAGAAGGTAGCCTGAAGAACTCATTCATCCCGGCCAAATGCATTTGTTCGTAACGTTGGACAGGCCTGAAATATGCAGAGTTATTACTTGTACATGAATCAACCAGTTTGAAATAAAAACTAACTTTATTCTGTCTCTCACGTAATAAATTCCATATGAACCCACCAATACAAAAACGTGGTCTTTTTCCAATTATTTCTCAGAGTTTTAGCGATCTTCACAACTCGCTGGGCCATGCTTGGTGGTTTATGAATGATTTGATGTTGATTTTTTGCAGCGTCTAATGACACAGCGACCGGCTGTTTTAACTTTTCTTATCGTGTCTATATCCCTTTTTGTTGTTGCGATATGACGGTCACACCTGAGGGCGCACTCCAATGTTAGGCGAAAAACAAGATTTAAGAAGATTACAATGTTTTTAAGCCTGACTTCAGTTCTAAGTATCTGAGATGTGATTTGATTTTGATTTACAGTTTACAATAATTGTTAGTATACATTATTTAATTATTATCACAAATGTTATGTTAAATTGATAGTCTAGGGCTCTGTCGAGTCTTTATTATTAGTATTATTAAGGCTAGGCTAGCCCTCCTAGCTAGCCTAGCTAGGTTAGCTAAGTGGGGCCTAGGCTAATAGGGGCCTAGGCCCTAGGTAGAGGAGACCAAGCCAATAAGGTCGAGAGGGCGCTTTACGCCTAGCCTACTGCTACTAACTACCAGTGACCACTGGGCATAGGACTAGTACCCAGCTAGGCTAGACAGGGTCAGAGAGACTAAGGCCTAGCCTAGGTCTAAACCTATCATAAGAATTAAGATAGATAGGTCGTTATTTTATGTCAATATCTTGGATCGGTAATACCCCTTTTTCCTCTTCTGTATCTCATTCACCTTCCCCAGTTTTTCGTCAAACAACTTTCATGTGTCTTAGAAAAGTCAGTTCTACAACATATCAACAAATATTTTGCCTCTGGAGCTACAGTAGACCTTAATGTCCTCAAAAGGATTTATTTTTATTCAGCTTTATATGCCAAACAGTGAACATTTCAAAGTGGCAATCCCATCACAAAAAGAGAACAGTGGCTGTATTTACTAGTACACACCCCCTACTCATCTCAAAATATGTACTGGGTTCTTTGAAGTGCACATGAGTCAATTGTGTAAGTCTTTGTTGGAGAAGACTTGTTCTCCCTCCAGAACCAGCCGAGCCTGCTGTTTGAACCACCGCCGATATTGTGGCTGTAGGCACCTGCCTTAACCGCTTCGCCATTTGACTTGCCTAAGATATTTGTTTTTATAGTAAATGGTATGTAAACCACCTGTACAGTAATTTTTTTTATTGTTGCAATTGTCATTGATTCCATTTTTGATGAGCATTTCAGTGTAGGTCTGCAGACAGTTCCTAAATGGAATCCTTTTTTGAGCTGCACTGAAGCGTTGTTTATGTTTTGACTTTATTTTCATTTAAAAGGATGTTAAACGGTTGCAGAAACTGAACCATGCTTCGTGATTCAAGATATGAACACTGTGATTCAGATGAAGAGGAGGGTGGCTCCAATGCTGCTCTTACCAGCTTTCTTTTTGGCAACATTGACAAAAAGGGGCAACTTGAATCGGATATATTTGACCAGGTAAAAAAATATCGCTAAATGCACTTTGTTACTCCACCCTAAACCTTAACAATAAGTCAGCGAGACTGGAGTTATGGCGGTAAGGGTGGAGTACTAAAGTGTATGGTGCAAACAAATTACTAAATTGCTAAAAGATATAGAAATACAGTATGTTGACTTTGCTAGCATCATAAGTAAATGTATCAAGATGAAATGACCATTGTGGCTCACTTCACAAAATGTGTCTCTGCACTCTTCCCCACTCTAATGGCCTTCAACTTCTCTCAGTTTAATTCCATACAGACCTCCCTCTAATTGAAGACCCTTCCAATTAAAGGTGACTTCCAATTAAGACCACTTTTCTATAGTCCCAAATTAACAAATTTCTTTTATCTTTATGATATATTTATTATCATATCATGTCATTTCCATCATTTTATATTTACAAATGCAGACACAAAAATACAAAAAAAAACCCACCAAAATGACTCAGCAGTACCTGGTAGGATTGTTTTAAGTTTATGAAGGTTAAACTAAAGAGGGCGCTCTTAAATGATACAATGGTCATCCGTCTGTGAGCTCTCCAGTACTAACTGAAGAAACAAAATTATGTAACAGAAACAAAGCTGTTAAGTGGTCTTTTCATTTGAGGGACACATGTATTTTTATTTTTCATTGCTCCCAGAATAATTGTAATCTCAATAATTAATACAGTAATAATATTTTATATTAGTTCAACAAAAATTAATATTTCTCGTAATCTGTAATCCCCTTTTCAAGGCCCCTGGTATCGTATATGATACATTAAGATAAAATGTTTTTTTCAGGAATCTGTACGCCACATTGGAGCGCTTGGCAACCTCAGTGGTCTAGGGAGCTTAGCTCAATCACTAACACAGACTCAACAGCAAGGATCATCGGATGATGACTATGATGCTTCCAAGGATGATGGTAAGAGAGGATATTTGTGTCATTTAAATATTGATGGAGAATAATGAATATTTCACAGATAATTGTTTAACTATTTTAAGGAATGTTATTATTTTTATAATTTTGTTACTATTTTCCGGTATGTGCTGGCAGTGCTTACTCATTATGGAACTAGATCACAATTTTAATTTAAGGACTGCCTAATAAAGCATCTTTTCAGTATTTAATTTGTTTTTTTACATTTGTATGTACCATAGGAGCACTATGTATTCAGGTTAATTATTGGGCACTATATTAAATACATATATTATTATTATTATTACACTTAATTCCATTTACACAAAATTTAATCAATATTTTCATTAAGAATTATACAAATTTTTTTCAATTTATTTTAATCAAAGAGTATATAAAACTACTGCCACAAAATAGGGGATGCCCTACACATAAATTTAGAAAATCATGTCAGTTGCTCGAATCTTTTAACGACTACCTTTTCGGTCGGACCTCTTGCAGTTTTATACTCTTTGGTTTAATGTTTTATGCAGTGCTGTAGCTTTTAACATTTAGTGAATGTTTCCTATTGTATACTCAATAACATTTAATTTAATTAATGTTTTTTGGTAAGCTTTAATTTTGTTAGGATACATTTTAGTTGGTTTCTAAAGAAGAAGATTACTGCTTGAATGACAGCTTGTGAAATAATAATTAAAGTTTGTTTATAAAGTACATTTTACATCACAATCAATCCTACAGTAGTTCTATTACACTTATTTTTTTATTATTACAATTTGATTTCTATTTTTGTTATTATCAGTGGTGTAACCAAGATTTTAGGAAGTGGGTTGCTGATGGAAGTCATGGTTGGCTGTGACGTTAGAACTTGAGACTTTCAATTGCGGGAAGATGGCACATAAATACATAAAATCTACAAAAATTTTTATATTGTTGAAGCCAGGGTGAGAGTAATTTAAGAATTGGGGACTTTTAGATACCGGAAAATGGCACTTCTTAAATTTGTTCAAACTCTGAAAGGACCCCGAGCACTCCCCTGGATACACTGCTGATTATTAATGCAATTTAGTTAGCGTTCTAGATGAAAGTGAATGCTGTTGTTGCTGCATTTTATATAATATTTTCTGTTGTACTTTGGATCATTGCAGATGATGAAAGTGTATCAAGTGCAGCTGTTGATTATTCTGATATCACAGAAGTTGCCGATGACGATGAGGAGATGGCGCAGGGCATTCAACCATACATGGG